TTATCTTCTGCTACTTTATCTGTTTAGCATTAGCAGAGCTAAGAATCTTGGTGGTTAGCTTCTGCTAATATTTTATCTGTTTAGCATTAGCAGAGCTAAGAATCTTGGTGTTAGCTTCTGATAATTTTTAATCTGTTTAGCATTAGCAGAGCTACAAATCGTGGTGGTTAGCTGCACCCATCACTGCAGAAAATATTTGTTTTCATTGTTTAAAACTTTGATACAAAAAATGCACATTTAAAATGGCCGAACTCTCACTTTGAACAAACTCAACCTCATCTGGATGCTCGTAAAAATAATTTAGCTAAATAAATTCAGCATAACATTACGGAACTCACCGAAAATAATCAGGTACTGAAACTGAAACTAGGTTTCAGCTACCATTCTTCTAGTTTTAGCTTCCAGCTAGCCTTTTGGTACTATTAGCCTGAGCCTACCTGTCAATGAACAGGATGATCCGATCCTCTGATGTCATCTCCTGCAGAGCCGCTTTCAGGAGCCGAATCTTCTGTCCTCCTCCTGGAGCCGACATGTAGTCGCCTCCGCTCCATTTCTCCCCTCGACCCAGAACCTGGAAAACAAAAGGAGATTACTGTTCATCAGTGGTGGGCACAGCTAACCGAAACGTTAGCTTCACTAACCGCTAATCCACTAAACAAGAATCTTAGATCCGCTAACGTTAAACAACTAAACAGACAGAGAAATTAGAGGAAGCTAACGTTAACGGCTAAGACCGTTAGGAAGATCAAATGTAAACATTTTACTAAACAATCACAGCAGATAATACTTTAGTCAACTCTGATTGGACGATAACATCAGAACTCATGCTAACGTGTAGCTTCTAGTTCCGCTAACCCACTAACAGCAGACCTAGCTTCTCATTTTACGGATTTTCCTTTTTTTTTTTTTGATAACTTAAAAAAACAATCAGATCTGAGCTTTAAGACATGTTGAATGAACAGCACACATAAATTAAAGTTTTGCTTCTTTTTTAAAAAGCTGCTTTGAGCTTAAATCAAGATGGAGTTTTTTTGTTACTGCTCCTACCTTTACGCTGTAGTTAAAGCGTTTTGCAGACCTCAAAAACCGCCTGAACCCATCCGTCTCTTTGGTTGCAACAGTCACAACAAGAAGTTTCTCTGAAACACAAAAACATTACAGAGAAATAATTCAGAAACATGATGCTCTCAACTCGTTTTATTATTTTAGAATAAAGGAAGCAGGAGGGACAGGTAAAATATGAGCTGCAACCGGACCCATCAATCCAGATAAATGACCTGTTGCACTGTGAGAAAATATTTTATTAAAGGATTCTAGTAAAAACAGGTGGACTGGGATAAACAGCAACACTGAAATGTTGTTTGGGTGTAAATTACAGGAGTAAATTCTCACAGAAACTGATAATTATTTCAGCAAAAAGCAAAGAAAGAAGCAGCAGAGTTAGTTAACCTCACAGATTATAGATATTTAAATCATTTACTTAAACATTTAACAGATTTATTTGTTTTTAACTCATTGGTTTTCAGTGTGTACTTACTAATTAATTAGTCATATTCAGCAGAACAGTGGTAATAAAACACTAACATAACACTGAAATGTTTCCACTCGAAGTGATTTAAATTGAAATAATGACACTTTTTGGATTGTTTTGTTTTTACTTAATCAAATTAAACACAACCTTATTGGTACTAATAAGATAATAAGATAATATAATAATATAATATTTACCAATAATTTTTATATTAAGCATTTGTACAATATCAGGTTAAGCATGAGTTATAAGTATTTTATAAATCTTTGCTTTTTTATTGATGTTTTTTGATCTTGCAGACATTTTAAAATAAAAAAACGGAATACATATACACATACATTGATTTTTGCTCAAAATTTAAACACTACTAGGGCTCAAATGTATTATTGTACTCTGATTTTAAGTATTTACAGATGTAATGTTATATAAAAATGCATATGTTTACATTTTTTACTTGCTTGTGACTGAAAAAAGCTAAGTTGACCTTTACTTTACCCTGGCTCAGATTCAAACAGAGTTTAAGACAATTTCAACACTTAATTTATGTATATTTTGACTAAAATTCAYAAGATTTAACTTGATGAATAAGTAAATACAACTTGTTTTTTCATCTCTAAATTCTAACCTCAACACTATAAATACACCAGCTGATAAGTGATTAGTTTTTATAATAAAAAAGTACTTTTCTTTCATATTAATTATTGATAAAAGTAGCTGTAGGCTATGAGAAACCCCGTTCTGACAGCCCTGCCTGAACCCGTCCACGTCAGCGACATCATGGAGGTTCTGCCCCGCTAAAGAAAGTTTGCTCTCGCAGGTATTAGGCTAGAAAAATCGTTAAATTTGTCGTATTTTATCTTATTTATAAAAATAGCGCAAAAGCTCCAATAAGAAATACCTGGCATTGTGTAACATATGCTGAGCTACAATTCGGCGTACATAAAAAATTAAAAACAAACGAAAGATTGAATAAAAAAGTCTGTTTTTCAAACTTGTCATGTTAATATTTTAAGCTAACATTACATTGAGTGGCGCGAGCCGCTTTAGCTGCTGGATAACAAAACTCGACACAACACCGACAAGTGTCGTTAATAGCTTAAAACTCGTTTTTCATTGAGCCTGGAGCCACAAAGTTTACCGAGAGCTCCCCCTCAGCTCATATCGGGGGGTGAAGCTGATCTGCGGCGGTAAGAAACCCGCAAAAGGAGCGATAAAAATCTCAGCTACAAACATGGACTCGCTCACCCTCCGGGATCCGCTTCTCCTCGCAGTTTGTCAGCGGTAACAGAGCACACAAACACGTCCAGGACAGCACGAACAGAACTGAAGGCTTCATTTTGGCCGAACTTGGAGTCAAAGAGCAGCAGAACTCCTTTAAGGTTTCCGCTTCTTCTTCCCTCTGATGATGGTTCCGTTCCCCGAACCTCCTCTTCACCCCCGCTGCTGCGTKTTTCTGTGCCCCCCTCAGTTTAACTGGACCTCCGTCTCTTTACGCGCTTTTTACCTTCGTACCTGCACAAACTTTACAGGTGAGGTCTTTGTAGCCGTTTTGGTGTTGATGATTGTAAAGTTTTCATGAGTTAAAGTGGAAATGAACCGCCCTCATGAATGGGTGGGATAAATCAGTGTTTTTGGAGAGGATGGGGACAGAGACATGAGTGTTTGCACGTAGACTTTCCCACCTACAACACTGCCAACAAGTGTCCAACAAGCCCCTCATTAAATAATTAACTTATCTGACTTAATACAAGCAGCAAATATTAGTTTTCAGATTTTCTGAAAGACTCTTAATAGTTTTTCTTGAAACTGTTACTGTATTTTTATTTATTTAACTGTACTTGGACATGATGAGGTCTGTTTCTTTTCCTGCCAGGCAAACTCAGGGCCCACGGGCCAAATATGGACCTTGTTACGAATCATGGGTCTCCAATGTTGTCAAATGTTCAGTAAGAAAAGATGGCTGCTCTAAAAGTTGCTTAAATGACTCATCGCCTAACCAGTAGGGCTGCAACGATACAGAAAAGACACAATTCGGTTTGGTTCAATACTTTAGTCTGACGTTTCGATATTTTTTTGATACAAAAAAGAGAAATTTACATCCTCTTTTTAGCTTGTAATTTATTTAAATTAATTATGAACATTTGTTTAACCTCAAAAGTCCAGTTTTTAAATGAAATGTTGCTGAAACAGCAAGTTTCTCAGTGGATCTGYGCTCAAAAATGCAGCCTAGGTGGAGTAGTCGAACACAGATCCACTGATCCTTCAACACAGAGCTTCTTCAGAAGACAAGTTGATAAAATACATTTTAAAAATCTGTATTGTTCCATACATTTAGTGTGTATTGAACCTAACAGTTTGATACGTGTATTGTTGCACCCCTACTAATTAGCATATTTGGACTTTTGCCAATATTTATGATCTCAGCCACAACTCATGGCCTGCAAGAGCTTCCATTAAAATAAGGTGCTTTAAAGTCAGCATTGTCCATAAACTACATCTCCCACAATGCATGTTGCTTATTTTATCTGCAAAAATGATGGTATCCCAGGTGGAGGTGCACACGGTTCAAAAGCAGCCTGCAAAATCTTAACTAACTTTTGCTGCAGCTCATTTGTATTTGAAGGTGGGAATTTCCCACTTACAAGTTGTAAATTTAAACAGGAACCAGTGGGAATTCCCTGTTGGAATATGGGAGAATTTAGAACTCAAGATGTCAGCTTCTCACCCCAGCTCAACAGTGAGTAAAACTTTCTTACTTTTATTTTTAATAGTACTTCTGTTTGTTTAGTCAGTTAGTTTTAGAAGTGTTAAAACACTGTTTTTATACATTAAGTACCAGGTAGAGCTCAGTTAGTGTTTGTTAGGTAACGAAACGCAGAAATGTTCAAAAATAAGTCCATTTAAAACAATAATAAAGAAACATAAAACCATCGGCTCTAAAAAAATCTCAAGCTCCAAGAATCAAAAACCAAGGACTAACGAGGGGTCCTGGTGGTCTCAGTGGTCTAAAAGGTAAAACCCTCAGGTTTGGGACAGCAACTGTAAAAGTATGATCACCTCTGAGTTTAATTTGGATCTAGAAACAGAGAAACTGGTTGGATGGTTGAAGAGCTCTGATTGAAGATCACACATATAATGGGGCCAGATCTGAATCTACACTAAATCAAACAGGAAGCCTGAACCGGAGACATGTTCATGTTTTAGAAAGATCATTTAAATATTCTGTCTGCAGCTTGGCAGGAATGATTTCCTGTTTCGCTCCTTTAACAGACGGGCTTGGATCAGTCCTGTTCCTGCAGCTGCTTTTCACATCGTCCACTGTTTCATGAGGGGGTGGGGGGCTTCTCCATGCAGAAGCATTCTTTCCTCCCACATCCAGATAAACACCCGTTAGTTTGACACCATCGCCATGTTTGTTCCATTTATACACACAGCGGAAGGGAGGTTTACTGGGGGAAAAAGAAAAAAAATACATATAAAGAAGACACAATTATTTGACAGATTGACACACAGCATCTGTAATTACAGGAACTAAATCTACGATTTAACAGAAAATAATAAAGCTGAGAGAAAAGCACTAAATCACATTGAAAGTTATTACAAAGTCTTTTAAT